GATATGACCAGATTAATCTGCAAACCTGCAAGAATGCACCAACGTTACAAAACATGCACACAATATAACCTTCATCCTGATTGTGGCACAAAAAGCTCTAAATAAAACATTTCTTCCTTTATTTATATTAAATATGTACAACATCAGTTACAAAATTCATGTAACATGTCCAGGGTGCCTCTTGCACAGTGATGGCTGGACAAGGGCACCAGTGACGCTTTGTAATGCCTATCACCCATCTCCAGCTCAAGCCATGCCACGTCTCCCTTGTTTCTCACAGCAATCAGACCTGATTCCACTCACCTGTTCAGCTCAACTAGTTCACGTGCTCTGCACCTTTTATAAGTTCCAGTCTCGCTCTCCACCAGTGCTGAATTATTACACCACTCCTAGTCCCTGATAGTGAAGCCTTTCATCAAAGTATCTTGTTCCATAGCTTTGTATCCTTGCCTTGAACCGTCGCCTGTTTTTTGACGCCTCGCCTGCCCCTTTGCATTTCATCTGCGTTCTGACCACGGTTTTTGACTCTGCAATTTTCCTAACGACCACGACATCGGATCTCGACATGGCTCAGTCTTCTGCTACCTGTGACCCTTGTATGACCCCTGCTACTATCACGGACCACGGATTTGGATTTACTGACCTCGAACGGTTCCAAGATCTGTGCCACTGCTGCAGCCCACACTGCACGAGCGACATCACTGGCACCAGCGTGACATCAGCACCTGCCACGTCCAGACTGAGAAGATTGGACTCCCACCTTTTGGGAAAGCAGGGGAAGAGAAACTATTGTATGAGGGGCTGAAACAATAGCAGAATGTGAGACAGGGGCCGATGGGGGTCAACGGGGGCCGCTGACCATGACAATACCTACTGTATTCATTTCATATTATATATCTAAAATAAATCATATATTCTACACTGTATTTATTATGACATCCCAGATTTAAATAAACAACTCTTGTTTGTGTTTGACACAATACTTTTTTTATTTCTGGATGGACAATATGATAGTAACTCGTTCCAACAGTGTTGCTGTGTCGGGGGTTCTCTGTGTTTCCTTGTCATCATTCAGAATACATACTGTAAGAAGAGCTTCTGATGATAACGGTTTAAATCATATATCTGTGTCCGCCAGTAAAGCATTTATTTCTTTATTATTAGTTAATTTAGCATCACAATTTGTCTGATTTGTACATAAAGTGACAAGCAGGAGGAAATAAAATGAATATCACTTTACAAATATGCTCAAAAACGTTTTTAGAGCAAGTCACTTCAACACTCACACTAATCTGGCAGGAATAGGTTTAACATTGATCAGCCTTTGTGATGCAGGTAAGTAATGAGTATAAAGTAAACCTGGATTAACCCTCAGTGAGGTCGGTACTCCATCCCTCTGCTTCATGGCATCTGTTCCTCATCCCTCCACCCAGCTGCTCCTCTTTGTGGTTTGTTGTCTGCCTGGTTCCAGATGTGAGATGTCAACACTGTGCACATGTGTCACGTCAGCCATGAGGGTGGTTGTTGGTACAAAAGTTTATTAGGTGTTTACTTTTTCCACCTTTCTCAGATGAGTTGTTTCTTTTGGACAGAGGGAAGTCTCTAAGCTGAGACGATGCCTCTGTTCTGCAGTGTTGGGACGTTCCGTCATACGTTTTAGTGGTTCTGGTTTTTTACATAATTTTCAAATACTTTACTTTGATGAGGATAAACACTTTGTGTCTTCTTGACTGTTTGAGAAATTTAAGACTTTATTTGCTTTAAAAAAATCTATCATTGATACTCATACTCACACATTTTTATTGTGATTGCAAACAGTTGAGACAGTTTGGGCATCTGGTAAGGGTCTCCCTGGGCGCCACTAGGGAGGTGCTTCGAGCATCTCCTTGAAGAGCTGGAAGAGGGGGCTGATGTCTGGGCCTCTCTGCTAAAGCTGCTGCCCCCATGACCTGACTTTGGAACAAGTGAAAGATTGTGGATGGATAGATAACACAACTAATTACACTTAGCAAACACATAAATAGCTATATCATAATCATTTTTTTTTAAATACAGAGTTAAAATTAGGTGTGGTGGTAGCTTATGAGGTGCACAAAGTTAAACTGAATGCAATGATGTGGAGATGGCAAATGTCAATATTTTATTCGTAATATAACATAGATGGCAGATCAAAAGTTTAATCTGAGTAAATGTAACATTTTAAAGGAAAAATATGTTGATTCAAAATTTCACAGTGTCAACAAATCCCAAAAAAGTTGGGACAAGTAGCAATAAGTGGCTGGAAAAAGGAAATTGAGCATATAACGAACAGCTGGAACACCAATTAACATTAATTAGGTCAATTGACAACATGATTGGGTATAAAAAGAGCTTCTCAGAATGTCAGTGTCTCTCAGAAGCCAATATGGTAAGAGGATCACCAATTCCACCATTGTTGCGCAGAAAGATAGTGCAGCAATACCAGAATGGTGTTACCCAGCGTAAAATAGCAAAGACTTTTAAGTTATCATCATCAACCGTGCATAACATCATCAAAAGATTCAGAGAATCTGGAACAATCGCTGTGCGTAAAGGTCAAGGCCGTAAAACTCTACTGGATGCTCGTGATCTCCGGGCCCTTAAACGTCACTGCACCTCAAACAGGAATGCCACTGTCAAGGAAATAACAGAATGGGCTCAGGAATACTTCCAGAAAGCATTGTCAGTGTACACAATCCACTGTTCCATCCGCCGTTGCAAGCTGAAACTCTACAGTGCAAAGATGAAGCCATTTCTAAGCAAGCTCCACAAGCTCAGACGTTTGCACTGGGCCAGGGGTCATTTAAAATGGAGTGTGGCAAAATGGAAGACTGTTCTGTGGTCAGATGAGTCACGATTTGAAGTTCTTTATGGAACACTGGGACGCCATGTCATCTGGACCAGAGAGGACAAGGATAGCCCAAGTTGTTATCAACGCTCCTTTCAGAAGCCTGCATCACTGATGGTATGGGGTTGCATGAGCGCTTGTGGCATGGACAGCTTGCATGTCTGGAAAGGCACCATTAATGCAGAGAACTATGTTCAGGTTCTAGAACAACATATGCTCCCATCTAGACGTCATCTCTTTCAGGGAAGACCCTGCATTTTTCAACACGATAATGCCAGACCACATTCTGCAGCAATCACAACATCATGGCTACGTAGGAGAAGGATCCGGGTACTGAAATGGCCAGCCTGCAGTCCAGATCTTTCACCTATAAAGAACATTTGGCACATCATAAAGAGGAAGGTGCGACAAAGAAGGCCCAAGACGATTGAACAGTTAGAGGCCTGTATTAGACATGAATGGGAGAGCATTCCTATTTCTAAACTTGAGAAACTGGTCTCCTCTGTCCCCAGACGTCTGTTGAGTGTTGTAAGAAGAAGGGGGGATGCCACACAGTGGTAAAAATGGACTTGTCCCAACTTTTTGGGGATTTGTTGACGCCATGAAATTTGGAAACAACAGATTTTTCCCTTAAAATTATACATTCTCTCAGTTTAAACTTTTGATCTGTGATTTGTGTTATATTCTGAATAAAATATTAGATGTTGGCACCTCCACATCATTGCATTCAGTTTTTATTCCCAATTTGTTTAGTGTCCCAACTTTTTTGGAATCCGGTTTGTGTATATATATATATATATATATATATATATATATACGGCTTTCTTGGACTGTGAGGTCTCAGTCTCTGATAGAGGACATTTGCAAACTGAGGTGTACCGCAAACCCACCCACACAGACCAATATTTGCAGTTTGACTCCCATCACCCTTTGGAGCACAAGTTAGGAGTCATCAGGACTCTGTATCACAGAGCAGACAGCGTCCCCACTAGCTCAGGAGCCGGGCAGAAGGAGAAATCCCACACAAAACAGGCTCTAGAGCAATGTGGATATCCTAACTGGGCCTTCCTGAAAGCAGAGAAGAAACCCAAACAGGACTCCAGTCAGCCAACAGGTGAAAAGGAGGAACCCAGACCCAGACCAGTGGTCATTCCAATGTTGAGGGAGTATCAGAGAAACTGAGACGTTTATTTTCTAAACATAACGTCCCAGTGGCTTTTAAACCCCAAAATACATTACGGCATAGACTGGTTCATCCCAAAGATCCAGTCCCCCGGCACAAACAGAGTAATGTTGTGTATGCTGTTCAGTGTCAGGAGGGCTGTGATCAGTCTTACATCGGGGAAACAAAACAGCCACTGGCCAAAAGGATGGCCCAGCACAGAAGATCAACATCATCAGGCCAGGACTCTGCGGTCTACACTCATCTCCAGGCCAGCGGTCACTCTTTCAGGGATGAAGATGTTCACATCCTGGACAGAGAGGAACGATGGTTTGAGAGAGAAGTAAAGGAGGCCATCTTTGTGAAAAGAAACCGTCCATCATTAAACAGGGGTGGAGGCCTCCGGGTTCAACTGTCCCCCTCTTACAATGCTGTGATTGCTAGTATCACTCAGCCCTCTGTGAACAGTAAACAGCCATCAGTGTGCTAATGATCCATCGTTAGGCTGATGGTCCTTCTTGAGCATGTGATCAGCTGGTTTTGGTTGTCAGCAGCAAAACTGGTTGATCCACTCTGAGAAGGTGCTATTTAAGAGACTGAGATGAATACAGCTCCTCAGACTGAGAAAGTCTCTTGGATGAGAGACGAAATGTTTCTACATTTTTTTGTTGATTTATTTTGTTTTGTTTTTTTGAATGTCCAGAGGACCAGATTTAATTTTTTTAGATTTTTCTACCTGGATTATTGAGCATGCATCAGGATAGCTGAGAGTAATTCACCCACAATCTAAGTGGTCATTGAGCACGTGAGATCTTTGTTTAAAACTGTGCCATGCAAGGCAGCGAAGCCTTCAAGAAATGCTAGTGTAATTTACTCTTTTCCATAAAATATTAAATTATACTTTTAAAGTATGCTTGTTTCTAACATTTTTGTAGACACACTTGTAATTATCCTTTCTTTTCTAATATACAGGAGGAAGTGCTGTGGTGGATTCAGGTTTGTGATGGGCCAGTGCATACCTGAAAGTAGGTAAACCAAACAGACTTTGTATTTTCCTCATTTGCTGTTTTGCTCTTCCCTTTGTTGTTCATCGATTAAAACAAGCCGCAGAAACACAATCTCTGCAATCAGTGAATGGGCATGTTCAGGATTTATTCATAAATGGTTTTGTCACTTTAAGGTCCTATAATGTGTAAGTCAAATGTGCAACATTTTGGGAAAGTAACTATTAAAAGGAAACATAAAGAATTATTTTTTAATGCGAAACGGCCTAATTTCTGCAGAGCAACAGTGTTTGTCACTAGAGGACGCTGTGGCTCGTCCTGACAGTCACAGCATGAGCAGAAAAATGGTTTAAAAACTCTGCTGATGCGCATAAGCTTAAAAAAGGTCAATAATTTAAAATCTGGACTAGATTTTACATAGAAGTGTTTGTGTAGACAACCCCTGAACTCCAGAAATGCAACAATGAAGTTAAATGGAGGTTAATACATAACTGCTTATTTCTGTTTTCCATTCAGCTTAAAGAGTTCAACGCTGTGGTTCTGGCAGCATTTGAAGGTTTGAAATGAGGCATGAAGGGATCAGATATGAATGTGATGGTTTAACAGTTTCTCTCTGCCCAAAGTATGCATAAAAAAATTTAGCAGTTTGATGAAAAACAAAAGTTTATTTTTAGTCTTTACAGCAAACAATAGTTTTATTCTACTACAGTATATAGTGTAAAGTGTAGCTATATATCCACTTTGGTTCAGTTCAAGTTAAAAATATTTTTCCTTTTGAATGTTTTTCTGCTCACAGTCCCACAGTACATCACAATCTGTCAATCCACAATAATCTCAAATGTCAGCACAGATAGAAAAACTAAATAATTTATGATAACATTATACATGTAATGACTTTATCTTCTTTAAACCCTGGAAGACATGAGAAAATAATTCAAAACCACTAAAAGCAAAGATGATGTTTTCCAGTTGTGGACTTATAAATAGGACTTCTTCCTTCATATTTGTTGGCCTTTATAAAGACGAAGTCCACCAGAGGATACTTGGTTCTGACAACTTGTTTTTATTTTCGGTGCAAGTCCAAACTGAACTTGGAAAGAAATCTTTTCAGTTTTCTGCTCCATCTTCTCGGAACCAGTTGCAGAAATACATGAACCTAAAGGAGCTGTTGTCACAAAATGTTTATGAGGCTATGCTTACTGATTTGGAGAAGGGATCATCTGTCTGCAAATATTTAACTGAGGAATCTTTCAGTTAGTTAGTTTTTGATGAAGTTCACTTTTTTCTGTTTTTGCTGTGAATGTTCTGTAATGTCTGTGTGCTGCTGCCAGACTTGGCCAGGATTCTCTTGCAAAAGAGATTTTTAATCTCAGTGGGATTTTTCTGGTGAAATAAAGGTGAAATAAATAAATTTGAGAAGAGATTTTTTAAAGCATTTTCCTCCTGTTTTGTGTTTTGATGCAGGTGTGGACGTGTGTGCAGCGTCGCCCTGTGAGCAGCAGTGCACTGATAACTTTGGGCGAGTCATCTGCACGTGTTACCCTGGCTACCGCTTCGACAGGGAAAGACATCGCACTCACAAATCTCCCTACTGCCTGGGTTAGTACAGTCCCCTCTCAGGATGTAGTTGTATCTTCATGGTCCTATTAAAACACAACATTATTGACATGTATAAACTTCACATGTTCTATATTTAGCATCTGCATTCCATTAAGTCTTTGTCCCCTGCCTCTCCTTTCCTGTTCCAATTCGTCCTGTGCACACACAGATATTGATGAGTGTGGGAACTCGAGCAGCAGTTTGTGCGACCACGAGTGTGTGAACACAGTGGGCAGTTTTCAGTGTCGCTGTCACAGTGGTTACATACTCGCACCGGACCAGCGGTCCTGCATCCCCGTACACAACTGTAAGTTTCTGCATCACCATCAGAAGAGCGCACATGTTTGAGACAGAAAATGACATATGAGGCCATCAGCTGACTTTATAATCGGGAATGACAACATGACAAAGAGCTCAGGGTGTATGACCCGGCTACCGAGGATTCTGACCCCAGTTTGAACCAGCAGCTACAAAATGTACCTGAGATTAAATGGCTGATGTCATGAGACAAAGAAGCCACATCAGAGGACGCAGGTCCATGACCCTAAAAATCAAGATTAGGGATCAGGGTGATGAATTTTCCAACAAAATACACTTCCTGTACCACATATAATTATGTATGTTGACAAGGTTTACATTTTACTTGGTTAGATAAATACAAGTTTGATCAAAACTACTCACTTTAATAATCTGTGGCATGGACTAAACTAAAGGCTGGACTGCACAACATGTGGCAGAAGTTTTAAAGATGTGACCGATTGCTCTATATGTAGAAATAAAATTCTAAAATAATAACATAAAAGATTACTTTGACCCTCAGTGTGAGCAGTTCAAGGTTCTTTATTGTCATTCGCATCACATGTGTTACACAAGGTGGACTGAAATCGTGTACTCAGGGTCCCAGTTAAACCCCAAAATAGCAACAATATAAAATATAAAAAAAAAACAGTATACAAGGATCTAAGATATATGTTAAGATATACGCCAACAATCAGTCAGAGTCAGAGATTTATTTATTGTCGTTCGCACCACATGTGGTACATGTGGTGGTACAATACGCTAAAAGATATAAGATATACGCTAAACACCAATAATGTAAAATAATATGGTATATTAAACAGCATCCCGAAGATGACTCTGAGAGCAGCCATCGTTACATGGAAATAAAAGGACAGACTAACAGCTGTAGCACATCTGTCTATCAGCTATCAATCACGGTGCAATAAGATTCATAACTGGCTGTAACCACCATACCCATCACTGCACCAACTGGTCATCATTAACTTCACGCAGTCTCTCACACTGGTTTATTTTTAAATCACTTCTTGGTCTGCTGCCTTCATACATCTCCTCCTGTATGTCACTCCATGAGTGCAGCTACATCGTGCGCTCTCAGGACATAATTACTTGCAGTGTCCCCTCCACCAAACTTGGCAAAAGGGCCTTCTCTTACTCTGCTCCTGTTTCCTGGAATATCTTACAAAAACATCTGAAGCGCTCGACCTCGACCTCTCTAAGGGATTTTAAACATCTGCTAAATTCTTGTCAAAAACCAACGCAGACTAGTTCCTGTTTTTACTATTTTATATTGTTTTATAATGTAGCTGGGATTTTTCTTGTTTCGTTTTTATATAATTTCTTCTATTTACCTTTCATTTTATATGCTTTTTACACGATTGTCTGTTGTTGTCTGTACCTCATCTGTGTTTTTTGTTTAAAACAGGTCTCTCTTGTAAATGAGTCCTTGCGGCTCAATGAGACTGTATAAATAAAAGTTAAATAAAAAATAAACATGTTCCATCAAATAGCCTATAATTGAACATACAGTTTTTAGACAATGCACTTTGATTGTATCTTGGAAAAAAAAACTGTAACCGTGTTTTGCTGTGCAGTGAGTTCATCGGGGAAGTCCGACACCTTGATGAGTGCTGGTACCTGCTCGTTCACCTGTCAGGATTTCATCAACATGAAAAACAACCTGCTTCAGTTAAAGCTGCGGCTGGGAAACACACAGTCGTCCAACCAGGTAACACCGTCATCAAACAAAACACAACCTAACTGCCGTCTGTCTGGTTAAAGGATTTTACATTTATTAATTATAAACATTTATTTAATGCATGACTGAGGTCAGCAGCCTGAGTTTAAGAAGAAAAAAAAAAAATGACAAAAGATGCGTGATCACACATCCCAGCTCTGTATTTATTCATCCTTCTTCTTTATTGTTTGTAGGTTTCTGGTCTGGCAAACAGCAGTGACAAACCATCTCAGGGACGAGGAGGAAAAGGTCCCGATGGGCCCTGTCTTCCTGGTTTACCTGGCCCTCCAGGAGCTCCAGGTGTCCCAGGTAATAAAAAGGAGACTACAATGTTGGAAACTGGGTTGGCTCCAGAGGCTGCTGACGCTAAATGTGCAAGATGACTTGAGGGATTAACAAAATAATGTATTACAAATAAATAATCACCTTGCATACCAATGTTTTAAACAAGAAAATACACAAACACACATTAAAAGGAGATTTTATCATTTAAACTACAGAAATTGCATTTCCTGTGAAAATACAATGTGAATGCTTATTGCTGAAGAACTTGCTGAAAAACAGCTGAAATTAACATGTTGAAATGAAGCTGCAATAGAACAAGCCAAGTTAGCAGAAGAAAGCAAAAATAACAAATCTGCTGAATTAGGTTTAAATAAGCAGAATTTAGCACAAAAACTTGGAAATTAACTTTAAAAAAGCTGAAATTAGCACACACAAAAAATAGCTGAAAAATAGCTGAAAGGGCAGAAAGAAGCTTAAATTACCAGAAGGAAGTGAAAGGAGCTAAACGATGTGGAATTAGCTTTAAAAGTTAAAAATAACATAAAACAGCTGAATAGTAGCTGAAATAACTGAAACTATCAGAAACAAGCTGAAAAAAGCATAACAAGCTGCAATTTGCAGAAAGATGTAAATTAAGTAGCAGAAAATGGCACAAAAAAATTGAATTTATCTGAAAACAGCTAAAATTAGCTTAAAGGGTAGCTGAAAAAGTAGAACAAGCTTAAATTAGCAGAAGAAAGCAGAAAGAACATGTTTGCCCAATCAGGCTGGAAGAAGCAAAAATTAGCACAAAAAAAAAGGAAATTATCTGAAAAGAACTGAAATGAGCAAATAAAACAGTTGAAAAGTAGCTAAAAATGTAGAAAGAATCCGAAATAACAAGACGGATATCGAGAGAGCACATTTTTGCTGCATTAGGCTGAAAAAAGTTTAAATGAGTGCAAAAAATGTGGAATTAGCTGAAAGGGCTTAAATTAGCATAAAAACAGCTATATAGTTGCTGAAATAGTAGAAAAAGCTGAAACTTGCAGAAATAAGCTGAAAGGAGCATAAGCAGAAATTAGCAAGAAGAAGTTAGAAGAAGCACAAACAATGTTGTAGTTAGCAGAAAGAATCTGAAAGGAGCACAAAAGAGCTAAAAGAACAGCTGAAATTAGCTGAGAAATTTTTTAATTTGCACAAAGAAGCAGAAAGAAGCAGAACCAGAACAAAATGTGAAAGGAGCAGCAAAATGTTGGAAACAGATCTAAAGATCTGAAGGATGTAAAATGAGCTAATTTAATTTTACATGAGAAAAAAGTGTCAGAAAAGGCTAAATATTTCAACAAGCTAAAGTTGCACCAATGCCAAAGGTCATAGCAGGATTGTCCTGAAAGAGCTGAACGTTTTGATATACAGTATGATTTGTTGAATTAGCTTGAAAACTGCAGGAAGAGAATCACAACGAAAAGCATATGAAAGAAAAATGGATCACAATAGGTGAATGCTTCATAAACATTCGCACAATAATGTTATTACTAAAATATATATTCTGTTAGGAAGACTGAACCTCTGACTTTTTGCATTTGCTTGCTTTAGAATAAGTCTGTCATATTTTTCACCTGTCTTTACCAGGACACCCAGGAGAACCAGGAAACCCTGGAAAACCAGGAGAGAGAGGCCATCCTGGCTCAAGGGGCGACATGGGGCCCATGGGTCCAGAACCAGATCTGAGCCATATAAAGAGGGGCCGCAGGGGGCCAGTGGTAAGAAAACAAACCCACTGGCATCTTAATACTGAAACCACTAGAGGCAGCAACACAGAAAATAATGCAAAAAGAAAAATAATTTCAGAATGGAGATCAGATTTTAAATTCAGCATACCTTCAGAATACAATGGTTTTAATGACTCTTTTTATTTTCTAGCATAAAAAAATTTCTGAATAAAATATAAAATAAATAATAAAAATAAATAAAAATGCAATGAAAACATCAACATGTCCTGTTTCCATTCCGTTGTATGTGGTCTGGGTAGTGGAGTAACTTTGGGTTCATTGTCTGGGGAGTGGTGGCGCAGAGGTTAGAGAAGGTGAGCCTGTGATTAGAAGGTTGCCAGTTCGACTCCTCGAACCAGCAACATCAAAATGTGGGTGGAAATTGTGAAACACCTGCCTCCACCCTCATTTGCCTCCCTCTGGGCCCTTGAGCAAGGCCCTTAACCCCCACCCCCTGCTCCCAAACAGGCCTCTCTTGAAAATGAGTTCTCATGACTCAATGAGACTACCTGTATAAATAAAGGTTTTTAAAAAAGTGTTTTAGGTAAGTGAAAAGTGTTTGAGTACCAATCTGACCTTGTGTCTGTAATCAACAAAAAAACAATGCTCAGTCTCTCCACACAGCAAACAAAGTGAATAATTTGTCTTTGTCCTGTTAATGTTCATAACATAAAGACTATAAACAGAACTATTCTGACTTACTGCCATTCAAACTCCATTTCTAGAAAAGACTGGAACTTTTGTATTATAACAAAAATCTTAAATCTTTAGATATATTTGAACTTTTATGAAACAAACTCAAGTAGAAAGAAATTTGTTTTTAACACTGTTGCTGACAGCTTTATTCCTGATATCTGAGGGGTCAAAGGTCATCCTGCATAGTCATTTAGCTCTGACAACACCCTGCTTGCGGAGACTAAACCTTTAGTTTGGTGATTTTTGTCTTGATGATATCGCTGATATTCTTGCTGATGTTATAAACTATAAACTGCTTTGTCTGATTTTATCTGGCAACCATCTTGAATGTGTTGTGAACTTGTTTGCATTTTCTAAAAACAAAATTTGTTTTTCGTTCTGTGCGCAAGCATTAAAAACGGACTAAAGTAGTTTAGTTCTGATGCACAGAACTAAAAGAGGCAGGAACTGTCTGATAACCACAGGACGCTGTAGATAACAGGAAGCTCACTGTGTTTGTACCACACACACATTTGGAAAAGCCTAAAAAGATAATGGTCATGTTGTGATCATTCTCTCAGGGGCTGCCGGGGGCAACAGGAAGAGATGGATTAAAGGTTTGTAAAGTCCATCTTCTTTTCATCCTCACGTGGTTTTACTATCTGTGTGTGCTTGTCTCCACCTGCTCTCTGCATGAACTGTATGCTGCACCAATCACCGCAGGAGGCGTGGGACACTTTGGACCACGTCAGTCCAGTCTAAAATAATTAAAAATAACTTTTAACACTTTCATATTTTGTGATTATGACCATTTTTACGATGTGACATACTTTGAATTTTAAGTTGGAAGACAAAAGTTGATCAGTGCAGCTGGACAACAAAGGGTTAACCCTTCATGAAGCTGCTGCAGCAGGAGAAATGTGGGCGTGGCAGAGAGCCGCAGGTGGCAGAGAGGAGATCATGACAGGCTGCAGAGGGAGCGCCTTCCTGCACCTGTGGGCTGCACGAAGGTGCAGCAGGTGCTAAATAATTTAAAACAATTTATTTTAAATATACAATCGATGCCGCTTGTGTGGCTTATTCATCAATCAGCCAATTGTGTGTCATGTCTACTCTTACTTTGAAAAACTGCGAAAGTCAAAATGCAAATTAGCGAAGGACTACTGTATTTGTATTTTCTAAATACATTTTATGCACTAAAAATCTTGGCTAATGCTCTGTGCTTATATAATAATACACTTTTAGTCACACCAGCTAAGCTAAAAAAACTGTGCTACTGTTATTTTCAGGGTGAGCGAGGAGCTCCTGGTCCCAGAGGTCCACCTGTAAGTGATTACACCCACATTTTCATGAATAGTAGTGTTTAGTGCTTGGTTTCCATTTTAAATGCATGCTTTTACTCACCATTTTGTGTTAGCAAAACATAACATCACGTTAACCAGCTCCTCCACTTGTCTCCAGGGACCACCCGGCTCCTTCGACTTCCTGCTGCTCATGATGGCCGACATCCGCAATGACATCATCGAGCTCCAGGAGAAGGTGTTCGGTGAGCGGCGAGGTCTCTCTCTGGACAGTCCTCCTCAGTCCAGCGGGGAGGAGGACTTTGTCGAGTGGGGCTCTGGACCAGAGGATGTTCCGCTCAATACATGACCCGTTCACAAACCTGCTGAGAGGAGCTGTAGAAGGAGACCAATAAAAACAAACTCCAAACCTGGAGATCAGAGCATCAACAAGCTCCTCACATTGCAGCTGAAGAGAACAGAGCAATGGCTTTGGATGAACGGAGTAAAACGGAGAGATATTTTGTGCAGAACGTCAAGTGAGACACTGTGAGACTTTTTATGTCTGAACCAACTTTAAATGAGGACTTTTATTGTGAAAATATTTTCCTTTTCCTGAGTTTGTCCATGGAAGCTGTAGTGATGGATCGTTTTCAAGGTATCAGTAAATGTTTTCCAGGAAAGACTGTTTTTCTTTTCCACACCTGTTTGAGGTGTCCAGTGATGCTGCCTGACACGTGAAACTGATATATTGAGGTATACTACAAATAATTCAAGAGACTTATGAGCCTTGTAATGCTGAAACTGTACAAAGTGATAACTCATCTTCAGTTATGATGTGAAAATAAGTAGCATCTGCAGGAACGTGCTGAAAATGAATCAATCAAGTAATTCAACACACAGAATGGATAGTGTTATATTATAATTAAAATATGCAATAAAACTTATATAAGGAAACAAAATATTATTACTTTAGTTGTTAAAATGATTTGTGAACTTATTGTTAGAACCTTGGTTGAGATGGATGCTGCACATAATCTGTAACAAATAGCTAATCCTAATCTGGAGGACTAAGACGAAGAGCTGGTTGAAATATTTTATTTTTGTTTTGTTTTTTAATAACTAGGAGGCAGCTCTTGAAATGACTGATCCCTTTTACAGGTTTGTTTTAATTAATACACTATGATTATTTTGGGGGTGTTTGTAAATGGATCATTTCCAAAATAAAAAATATTACATCATGTAATATGACATAACAATCAAGCTAAATGCATTAAACTAATGTACATATTTTTATTCTCATTCAGTGTCCGCTAGAAGTCTAAGCCTATAGCAACATAACAAGCCAACCCTAACTATAGGATTTATCAAAAAGGAAAGTCTTAAGCCCAGTCTTAAAACTGGACAATGTGTCAACCATGAACTTTGTTTGAAATACATACACACACACACACACACACACACACACACACACACACACACACACACACACACACACAGATATATATATATATATATATATATATATATATATATATATATATATATCAAAGGTATTCTGCTTAATTGTTTCTCTCATTTTCTCATTTTGTACTTAAGCACATTTATGCATTTGTGAGTACAAAAGTTCTGCAAGACCTGTCAAAAAAATACTGAAAAAATTAGTATCATCCCCAACACTTGCTCCAAATGCTGTCAGATTATAAGATCTTGCAACATGGAGAACAATTGTTCATAATTTTATTTTCAAGATTCTACCAAAAATGCTAAAACTCAATTGTTTATTTAATGTAGGACAATTTTATGCTATAACTGTGATGTGAAAGCGGCATGCAGCCCTTCAAAATCTGCTAGATCTTAAATTTTACCTTTGACTTTTTGAAAAAAAAATGGAGCATTTAGCCTCGTTGATCATCGATCGGTGTAACTCAGCACAGCTGTATTCTGATCCGCATGGTGAGCTAGGACTAGAAACTCGTATTTGTCTCACCTGTTAATACCACGAAGAGACAGTATCATGTTTATGTGGAGTCTTAGAGCTTTCATAAGTCATCTGGTCAACTTTGAGGCCCTAAAGCTTTGACACAAAGAAAACCAAAATTGTTCTGACAAATATTGAAAAATAGAAAAAAACTGTGCATACCTGCCAAATGTGCAACATCAAACGTTCTGTGACACATACATTTTACAGGAATTCTTGTTGTACAGCATAGCTAATAAGTAGACTTTTTATATTTATTGCTGCAAATAGAAACTCTTTCACAGCTGGATGCAAAGATTAATGTTGCAAAAACGTCAGTCCAAATCTGTGACACCACTTTGCAATGAACGAGTGGCATTACTCACTGTTATCAGCAGAGAGCGCCACTTTACAGATAATCTCTTGAAGAATCAGTTTTATTTCACCTGCAAAGTATTTACTCACTGAACCAAACTCAATATACATGAACATTTCTCTTCAGAACACGTGTAGACTTTAAAACATGTGACTTACTGATGAAAATTAAGATTTCCTACTGTTTTCGTGCACTTACTTTCACATGCAATCTACAGCAACAACATTGCATGACTGGGTGCAATTATGAAAGGTGTAAACACCGAAGGTCAAAGGTCAAGTGCTTATGTTAAAACAGCTGGAGGGATAATCACTGGTTACAAGCTGTCAGTCAAATGAGAAAAAACGAGATGCATTATCCGTGTTTTGACTGGGTTTGAGTTGTGTAATAACCGTTAGGAAAAAGCTCAAGTACAGTAAATTGCTTGATTTCAGTTTGTGTGTAGGACAAAAATGTTGATGCTAAATTGTTTGAGTTTAGTGTCAAATTTACTGTTCATGCGTGTTTGCATGGATCAGATAAATAAATGATATAGATATAGTGTGTGTGAGAGAGCGTGTGTATTTGTATATATCGCTCTCCCTGCCATGGCGTCACTGCTCAGAAACCAGGAATCAAGAAAAACATGAATCAGTTTAAAACAAGGAAAGAGACTGAAAGAGATTATCTCGTTTCCTTCACCACCTGTCATGCAGTTTCTCTCTCAGCGTGCAGAGACGTCGAACGTAGCGTCAACGGAGTGCACCTCAGTGAACAAAAATCACGTTGCAGCGCTCACAGCAGGCCGGTCCTACCCATCAACATACAGTCAAGGACAAGAGAAACAGCTCTGGTTATTTCTCTTAATTTAATAAAATTACAGTATGTCATTTTACATCATGTCAACTTGGGAAATTAAGTAATATTTGATTGGTTTTATGCGACTGATTCTATTTAAAGCTGATATCTCTATCAGATTTTCATTCCGCGCTCTCGAGATGCCAAACTCCAACAGTGTCGTACAGTGAGGTGAGTTATGTAACTGTATGCAGACATCTTCAGATGGGCATATAGATAAAAACACTCGCCCATTGTGGCTGGTCATTTACACACCTCATGCACAATGGCACGATCACCTCAAAAATGTCAGATTCGGTGAGCGTCTCCTTGTTCACATGTCCGTAACAGTGTCCCGTATGTGAATCCGTGAACAAATATCTAATGTGAAAAGAATTACGACCTTTGCCTCACTTTTGTGTATTTCCCTTGTGTTTTTATCTTTATGGAAATATGAGGCTGAAAGAAAGAAAATATCTCATCGTTTCTTTACTCACCTGCATCATCAGCATGATCTCCAACAGCGCCAGGTTACCACGAATGTTGAGAGTTACCAAGAAGCTTGCAACTTTGAAACATCGAACAAACCTCAGATGTAACCCATAGTAAAAAATGTCCCAGCGGTGACCCAATAATACCATTATCTGATTGCATGCATTCTGTCTGCACCGCCACGGTGGTGTGGCAGATGTGACCATGGAGCTGTGTAATAAGCAATGCCATTGCTAGTCTTTCTTATTCGTCTCGTCAGAGCTGTCTATCATTTGTGTATTCCTTTGTTTCCTTGGCTCGTGTGAATATAAGGATATTCATGATGTCATGTGGTTGCTGTACATATTCTACTGTCAGAGTATATGTGGTGTGAAATACTAACAACAGATACATGCTTTTGTTGTCCTGGTATACAGCACATGTGTCAAACTCAAGGCCTGCGTGCCAGATGTGGCCCGCCATGTCATTTTATGTTGTCCACAACAGCTTAAAAGGTTTGATTGTTGTATAATAAATAAGTCAAAAGGGTGCAATGACAACAAACTACCCTGATGCATGCTCAATAATCCAGGTAGAAAAATCCAAAAAAGTTCAATCTGGTCCTCTGGACATTCAAAATAAACAAAAAAACAAAACAAAGCCTTTTTTTTGTTGTTGTTTATTTTGAATGTCCAGAGGACCAGATTTAACTTTTTTGGACAACAAACTACATTTCCCATAAAGCATGCCGATTATGTTACTTGTGAAGTAACAGCATCCCACCACTAGACTGCAGTTTTTTCACATCAATATCATTTTTCGAACAAGTGGGATTGAGAAATACAAACAATCCCAAAATGTCCAGAAAGAAAAAAATTGATGCAGATGGAAGGCTGTTTCAAGAAAGATGGGAAGGTGAATATATGTTTGTGCTTCAAGGAGAAACTGCTATGTCTTTTGTGTTATGAGGCAGTGGTGGTCGTCAGAGGGTTAAGGGCCTTGCTCAAAGCCCAGAGTGGGGCGATTGAGGGTGGAGGGAGGTGTGGGTGTTCCACCTTTTCCACCCACATTTTGATGTTGACGGTACTGGGAGTTGATCCTGCGACTTTCCGATCACAAGCCCATCTTCTAATCTCTGTGCCACCGCTCCCCCAATTAATGAGAGATGGTATTATTATAGACGACATTTACCTGCATAAACACAAACCTGCAATCCCAAATACTTTGCTGTAAATTTAATATAATATAATAAAAGACATTTAATAAGTATAATACACTCAAAATAACAACATTAGGGTTGAAGGCTCACTTTGGCATACCTAGCTCCATGTTTGGTGTCAAAATGCTGACGTAGATTGTACTCTTTGACGACCACCACCATCTGCTCCCTAAACAGGTCTCTATAGAAAATGAGTTTGCGTGGCTCAATGTGACTACCTGTATAAATAAAGGGTAAATGAAAAAAAAATTAATTGGACGTATGACCCTTGGCTTGGCTGTGTGCAGCCATTTGTTTTTTGTATAATGCTACACTTGTCACGTGTTCTTACAGCTCACAGTTGTTGGTTGGACAGTTATTCTGCCCCTCTTGATTATGACAAAAAAGTTTTGAACAAAGTTAATGTCATAACTTGTTATTTTTCCTTATTCACTTGGAAAGTTTGATCATTGATTTATGGAGTAATGTGGGTTTCATAACCTGACAAACTAAAAGGTTTTATGTTATAACAGCAGATATATTTTTCTACTTCTATGCAAATATGCATATGTAATATTTACAAGTTGAACAAGTAAAAAATTCAGAGTGATTTAACATTAAGGAGTAGTTGCTATTATTTTACATTACATTTAGTTAAATTTAGCTAATTTATACTGTCTTACAGTTAT